AGCCTCCGCGGTGGTCCTTGAAGTCAGCACAGCCTCCCCTGTGGTCCTCGAAGTCAGTGCACCCCTGGGCCCTGAGGGAGATGGCACTTCCCTGAGTTTTGTCTGATCCAGTCCTTCTTTCTAGAACCTCCCGCACCTCTATGCCCTGTGTGAGGACAGACAAAGGTACTGAGGGAGGTTCCTCTAGGAGCCTCGGGAAGAGTTCTTTGATGGATCCATTTCTTGTCTCTATTTAGGAAAACCAGGTGAGGGTTCGAGCGCTGTGCCAAGAAAGCACCTCTTACCACTGCCCCAAGCCGGCCGGCCAGACTGCCAGGGGAGGCTGTGCTCCTCACTTTTGTCCACGCAGGTTAAACAGCCTCTGTCCCTAAATGGTCAGCGCCTCCAGGTGGGTCGCGGTGGTTTCCAGGTTATTTTTCTGAACGTTGCCCAAGCCCTGGCTCAGGCTGGCACCTCCCAGGTGCCCTTTTTCCTCAGGGGTGTCGGAGGAGAACGCAGAGCCGTCTTCCGTAGGCCTTGTGAGTCGTCCCGAGGTTCTCCACGGGGAACTGAAGTTCACATTCCAGAGACCCTGCACTATTCGCCCCAGAGTCTCAAGGAAATGTCCACTGAACTGAATGCTTCTTAGACCTATTGGCCTGAGACTCGGCCCACCAATGTGACAGAACCCCCACGCCCCCCGCCTGCCCTCCTCTGGTATGCAGAGTGCTTGAGGCCCCGCGCCGGCTTCTGGTGCTGCTTTGGGAAACTCAGGACTTTTCCGCGTTTTTTTATGGGTGCGTTGCAGTTGCAGTGATGGTGGGGTTTACTGTGACATGTTTGTACATTCACACAAGGTACATTGGCCAGTATCGGTCCTTTCCTCTCCCCGCCCCCTGGCCCTCTCCTCTGCTGATCTCCCTTGGTCTCCATGAGAGTCTCCCCCACCTTTCTCTCCCTGTTTCTCCTCCGGCTTCCACATAGGAGAGAAAACAGACCCCCTTCCCCTTCTGAGTCTGACTGAGGTCACTTACCATGATGTCCACAGTTCTACTCATTGTCCCCAAGATGGATGATCTCATTTTCTTATGGCTGAGTAGCCCCACTGTGTGCACACACCACATTTCCTTTATTGATTCCTCTAGTGATGGACACTGGGCTGCTTCCAGAGGCTGGCCCCTGTGAGTTGAGCTGCTGTCAACACGGTGTGCACAGACCACTGTAGGAGGACGACGTTGCCTCTCTAGGTCAGTACCAGGAGAGGGGAAGCTGGGCCAGGGGGTGGTTCCAGGCCTGGTCTTTGGAGGAGCCTCCGTGCTGATTTCCAGGTGGTGGCACTAATTTGCACTCCACCAGCACTGTGACCTGCTCCTCTTCCCCCACGTCCTCTCCAGCAGTTATGTTGTTGGCATTCCTGCCGACTACCACGCTGCCTGGGGGAGGAACCTCAGTGCAGGTGGGATGTGCATTTCCCTGGTTGCTAATGGTGGTGCACATTGTTCATATACTGTTGCCCATTTATGTTTCTTATTTTTCATTCACTTGCTTATGTATTGATGGGTGTTATTTTAGTGCTCAGTTTTTTACTTGAGAAGCTCAAGTTTTGAGGGTGGCACTGAGGATGGTGCTGGAGCTGTCTCTTCCAGCCTCGGAAGGCAGACAGGTGAACTCCAGGAGGGTGTGGAGCCAGCTGGCATCTGCTGGTGACTTGAAAGTGGTGATTGTGACACTGTGTCCACCATGTTAATCGGGTGTCTCTGGCCCCAGGCTGAGCTGGTTAATGGACATGTTCCAGCACCATGGGTCAGAACCGTGCGCTGACTTCTTCACAAAACTCCAAGGAAGGCAAAACCTTTTATAAAATTCAGCTTTGACAAAAACACCTTAAAATGGAGTGTGTCTAGTTTTAAGTCAATAAGAAACTCAGGGGTTAGTGCTATCAACTTTAAAGCATGAGCTGATCCATATTCACTTTAGCTGTAAGTGATCCTGTGTATTTCGAGGCTGGAAGCGATGTCCTTTATAGAAGCCTGCTGGCTCCCGAGATCATCAGAGTCTCCCTCAGCCCTCACTCCTCCTGCTCCCCGGGGTCAGGGTCAGCTGCAGCTATTCGGTGTCTGACAGTGGACAACACATTACACGCAGTAACTCGATACGTGAGAGAACTCTACATGATCAGTCTTTGCATTTCACCATTGGCACCAGATGGCACTGGCGTGTCCCCAGCATGCTCTGAGTGCCAACTGTATGCACATGATGATGTGTCTCTGAGGTGCCTCCAGGGCCCCAGGTCCGAGCCCAGCCTGCGTCTTGCCCATCACTCTCCTTCAGGCTGCTGCTGGGCCTCAGGTGGCCTTCCCCTGCTTTGCCACGCGCCCCCCGGCTCCTGAGCTCACAGGCAGCGAAGCACAGCACAGAGCGCGCCCTTCGTCCATCCCAAGCTCCTGGCAGTGAAGTAGCACCCACCTCCACAGGAACCTGAAGTAGGCTTCTCCAGAGACCCTCGGGATCCCTTCTTGACTCACCAAGGCGCAGGCGGAGGCGCTGCGGAGGCCGGATGGTGAGGAAGGCCAGCCCCAGGCGCCACGCGGGGCCTGCAGCTCTGTATCCAGGCCTGGGTTCAGCGCCCAGAATGGCGGGAAAGGCTGCTTCTGTGTGGACTTCCGCAGCAGGGTGAGGCGTTCGGACCTGAGGACCCAACGACTAACACCTGCTTGTCATCTTCTTCACAGATACTAGTAAATGGGCAGAAGCGAGCAGAGCCATCAACCCGCAGTGGATCACCAAGGGTGTTAGTCTGCCATGGGCGAGCCTCCTGGGTCTTAGAGGAGTGCAGCCTGCTCCCCTCACGGTGGCCTGGGCTGCGGAAAGCTCTCGGGAAGTCGAGGCATCTCCGATTCTTCTGGTGAGCTTGGCATGAGCAGCCCTTGGGGCAGGGCAGCCTCTGCTCACCGAGGGCCTCCTCCATGGAGGCCGGAGGCAGGACCCACACTCTGCTTTCCCAGCCTCTGGTTTCCTGTCCCTCAGGAATGGCTCTGAGGGTGTGGCTGCCACACCAAACCCGCCAGAGGACACCTTCAGACCTCCAGGCAGACCTCCCGGGGTGATCCGCAGGTGAGTCCAGCACACTCACCGCCCAGGGACCAGGTTCTGGCCGCGGCTGCAGCTCCGCATTCACTCCCCTGAGCCCTGTGCTGGTCAGGCCGCTCCACGTTGGACTGCGAGTCCCCAAAAGGACTGCTTCCTCCCGCAGTTGGAGGGTCTGATTCTTTTTTCCTGCCACTTGTTAGAGATTCAGAGGGTGGTTCCAAGTCCCTCTACTTCTGCCCCAAGAACCTCACCGTCTTGAGGCCATCCAGAGTGTGGACTGCAGTCTCGGTGTCTCTGTGGGACATGCCTCACCTTCCCTGGCAGCCCTTAGCACATCCTCTAAGCACAGAACCAAACTCCTGGTGCAGATGGGGTCAGGCCCTCTGAGCCCTGCTCCTGCCTCTCAGGACGTGGGAGCCGTCCAAGCGCAGGCCAGCAAGGCCACCCGTGCCCGGCGCCTCTGGGGCTCCAGCCATCACCATTGCGTGCAATTTCCCTCTGAGTGGGTTTACTGTTGAAGTAGGCCAGTATCTTTGTAGAATCGTGGACATAATGACACTACTCATTTTCTTCAATTCGTTAGTGTCCTGCTTCATGACTTCCACGCTGAGAAGTTATAAATGGCAAGTAGCTTTTTCCAAGAGCATCCAAGAGACCCCGACAGTGCCCTCTGAGAACAGGTGGTAGCCATGGATTCCGTGAAGGAGCAATTGCTGAAGAACCCACCAAGACAGACTAGAAGCCAGTCGGTGGCCGTCCACACTTCCCACCTCAGTGTCCAGTCCACTGCAGACTGTCTCTGCAGCAGATGGCCATTGCTCCCAAACAAGGCACGCAAGGGGTCCCTGTCCAGGTGCCGCCGATTGTGACTACTCCGAGGCCATGGGTCATGGCACTGACCTCCCTCGGAGGTTTGGGGTGCGGGTGGTGCAGCCCAGCAGCTAAGCACCCTCCCTCCCGTCCACGGGTCTGAGAATCCACAGACCTGGGAAGCTCTCTGTCCTCTCAGGGGCCTGTGGCACCTCTTGTGGACGGCTGTCAGCGGTCATTCTCTGGACTTGATGGGTTCTTCCTGGTAGAGCTGCCCCGGTCCCACTCAGCCTCCTGACTCCAGGCCGGTGCCCGGTCAGGTGCAGGACTCTGGCATGGCCGATGGAGTGGCCCTCGCAGAGGCTCAGCGTTGGCGGCAGCTTGAGTTCCAGGTCCCCGGCCTACACCACAGTGGGCCTAAGAGGTCCCTCCTCCCTGGAGGTGGGACGCAGGATCAGTCACTCTTGCCTCCTGCTGCATTTCACATGTTGACCACGAGTGGCAATTGGCCCTGGGCGGTGACAGGAAGTCTGCTCCATGGCGCTCGCATCACCACCTGCATGCCATCCTGGACATGCCTTTGAACAGAATGAAGGAAAGAGCTTCCTGTTCCCCACTCCTCCTCTCCCACCACTCCTCTCCCTCCCCTCCTCTTCCACCCCAACCCTCCTCTCCCTCCCCTCCTCTTCCACCCCAACCCTCCTCTCCCTCCACTCATCTCCCTCCCCTCCTCTTCCACCCCAACCCTCCTCTCCCTCCACTCATCTCCCTCCCCTCCTCTTCCACCCCAACCCTCCTCTCCCTCCCCTCCTCTCCCTCCCCTGATCTCCCTCCCCTCCTCTACCTCCCCTGCTCTCCCTCCCCTCCTCTCCCTCCCCTGCTCTCCCTCCCCTCCTCTACCTCCCCTCCTCTCCCTCCCCTCCTCTCCCTCCCCTCCTCTCCCTCCCCTCCTCTCCCTCCCCTGCCTCCTCCCCCCCTCCTCCCTCCTCTCCCTCCTCCTGCCTCTCCCTCCCCTCCTCTCCCTCCCCTCCTCCTCCTCTCCCCTCCCCTCCTCTCCCTCCCCTCCTTTCCCTCCCCTCCTCTCCCTCCCCTGCTCTCCCCTCCTCTCCCTCCTTACCTATCCTCCTCTCCCTCCCCTCCTCTCCATCTCCTCTCCCTCTCCTCCTCTCCCTCCTCTCCTCCTCTCCCTCCCCTGCTCTCTGTTCTAGATCTCACCCCCTGCTGTGGATCTCACCCCCTGCTGTGGATCTCACCCCCTGCTGTGGATCTCACCCCCTGCTGTGGATCTCACTCACTGCTGTGGATCTAACCATGCTTCAGATCTCACCCCCTGCTTTGGATCTGATCCTCTGCTGTGGATCTCACCCCCTGCTTTGGATCTCATCCTCTGCTGTGGATCTCACCCCCTGAGTGGAACTCACCCCCTGATGTGGGTCTCTTCTTCTGCTGTGGATCTCACACCCTGCTGTGGATCTCACCTTCTGCTGTAGATCTCACCCCCTGATGTGGGTCTCACCTCCTGCTGTGGATCTCACCTTCTGCTGTGGATCTCACCCCCTGATGTGGGTCTCACCTCCTGCTGTGGATCTCACCTTCTGCTGTGGATCTCACCCCCTGATGTGGGTCTCACCTCCTGCTGTGGATCTCACCTTCTGCTGTGGATCTCACCCCCTGATGTGGGTCTCACCTTCTGCTGTGGATCTCACCTTCTGCTGTGGATCTCACCCCCTGATGTGGGTCTCACCTTCTGCTGTGGATCTCAACTTCTGCTGAGGATCTCACCCCCTGATGTGGATCTCACCTTCTGCTATGGATCTCACCCCCTGGTGTGGGTCTCACCTCCTGCTGTGGATCTCACCTTCAGCTGTGGATCTCACCCCCTGCTGTGGATCTCACCTTCTGCTGTGGATCTCACCCCCTGCTGTGGATCTCACCTCCTGCTGTGGATCTCACCTCCTGCTGTGGATCTCACCCCCTGATGTGGATCTCACCCCCTGCCTTGGATCTCACCTCCTGCTGTGGATCTCACCTTCTGCTGTGGATCTCACCCCCTGCTGTGGATCTCACCCCCTGCTGTGGATCTCACCCCCTGTTGTGGATCTCACCTTCTGCTGTGGATCTCACCCCCTGCTGTGGATCTCACTTTCTGCTGTGGATCTCATCCCCTGCTGTGGATCTCACCTCCTGCTGTGGGTCTCACCTTCTACTGTGGACCTCACCCCCTGCTGTGGATCTCACCTCCTGCTCTGGATCTCACCCCCTGATGTGGATCTCACCCCCTGCTGTGGATCTCACCTTCTGCTGTGGATCTCACCTTCTGCTGTGGATCTCACCCCCTCCTTTGGATCTCACCCCCTGCTGTGGATCTCTCCCCCTGATATGGATCTCACCCCCTGCTGTGGATCTCACCTTCTGCTGTGGATCTCACCTCCTGCTGTGGATCTCACCTTCTGCTCTGGATCTCATCCTCTGATGTGGGTCTCATCTTCTGCTGTGGATCTCACCTTCTGCTGTGGATATCACCCCCTGATGTGGATCTCACCTCCTTCTGTGGATCTCACTCCCTGCTGTGGATCTCACCCCCTGCTGTGGGTCTCACCCCCTGCTGTGGATCTCACCCCCTGCTGTGGATCTCACCCCCTGTTGTGGATCTCACCTTCTGCTGTGGATCTCACCCCCTGCTGTGGATCTCACTTTCTGCTGTGGATCTCACCCCCTGCTGTGGATCTCACCTCCTGCTGTGGGTCTCACCTTCTACTGTGGACCTCACCCCCTGCTGTGGATCTCACCTCCTGCTCTGGATCTCACCCCCTGATGTGGATCTCACCCCCTGCTGTGGATCTCACCTTCTGCTGTGGATCTCACCCCCTCCTTTGGATCTCACCCCCTGCTGTGGATCTCACCTTCTGCTGTGGATCTCACCTCCTGCTGTGGATCTCACCTTCTGCTGTGGATCTCACCCCCTGCTGTGGATCTCACCTTCTGCTGTGGATCTCATCCCCTGTTGTGGGTCTCATCTTCTGCTGTGGATCTCACCTTCTGCTGTGGATATCACCCCCTGATGTGGATCTCACCTCCTTCTGTGGATCTCACTCCCTGCTGTGGATCTCACCCCCTGCTGTGGATCTCACCTCTTGCCTTGGGTCTCACCTTCTGCTGTGGATCTCACTCATTGCTGTGGATCTCACCCCCTGCTGTGGGTCTCACCCCATGCGGTGGATCTCACCCCCTGCTGTGGATCTCACCTCCTGCTCTGGATCTCACCTTCTCCTGTGGATCTCACCTCCTGCTGTGGGTCTCACCTCCTGCTGTGGGTCTCACCTCCTGCTGTGGATCTCACCCCCTGCTGTGGATCTCACCCCCTGCTGTGGGTCTCACCCCCTGCTGTGGATCTCACCTCCTGCTGTGGGTCTCACCCCCTGCTGTGGATCTCTCTTTTGGCGAGCCAGCCAGGAGAACTCCTGTAACCCCATCCGGATCCCTGCCCGAGGAACTCCCGACATCACTGGGAGGTAAGCTGGCCAGCTCAAACTTTCTGTCTTGTTGTCCTGTTGGCTATCTGTTCTTTGTTCCGCGCAGCGTCTGTATGACTATATGATCCTAGGCATAGTCATTTAGTATTCTGAGGCAGTTCTGTAGTCAATTTGTATTCTGAGGCAGTTTGAGAAGGAGTTGAAGAACTCGGACTTCTCCCCTGCCACCCTGAGAGACGTCCCAGGGATCAGAGGGGTCCATTTCTTTGGGGCCCCCGGTGTTTCCGAGGATTACACCATCTTTGTAGGTGACGGAGAAGTACAAACTTCTCCCAGGCCATCTGATTTTTTTTCGGTTTCCACCGAAGCCGCGCAGCGATCTCACTGTTTGGTTTCGTTTTTGTGTCGTTGTGTCTGTCTCTCTATTTCCTCTCTGAGAATAACATGGGACAATCACTAACAACCCCTTTGAGCCTCACTCTAGATCATTGGCAAGACATTCAAGAGCGGGCAAACAACTTGTCTGTGGCAGTTAAGAAGAAAAAGTGGAAAACTCTCTGTACTTCCGAATGGCCAGCATTCAACACCGGCTGGCCAGCAGAAGGGACATTTAACCTTGATCTTATTTTACAGGTAAAATCTCGGGTTTCCACCCAAGGTCCTCAAGGACACCCCGTGGTGTTAATTGGTTTTAGAGATGGGAACCAAATTTTCAGTCACAAATTTTGACACTCTCAAGGGGACTTTTAAGGAGTCCCCACTCTGCTTTCTTGGGGAAGCCTAGCACTCGAAACAAGTGCAAGCAGAGGATGAACTTTTTGGGAGCTGGCTACTAAAAAGTTAGGAAAAAAAAAATGCCTAATGCCTAAGGTCAAACCAAACTGGAGGAACTGATCCTATGGGTGAAAGATAGGATTAAGGGACTCCCAGCAGCTGCCAGAGCCATTTAGCTCTGGGGAGTTCCCTGGGTCCTTATCTACATCTTAAGGATTAAGCCACCTCTGTTTACTTAAAAAGAAGGGACACTGAATGCAGTAAAGCCAGTCACACTGAGACCCTTGATTTTACACCTATAGTTGCCCCTACGTGAAAACATCTGGTCCACTCATGGGAAAGTCTATGGTGCCACTCATAGGAGTCATAATTAAATGAAAGTTCAAAACCTGGTTTGAACTTTCTGGTTGTCTGATCGTTTCTTAAAGATAATCTAGGTTAAATGTGTGTCTAAAAATAATAATAATAATAATAATTTTTTATTGTAACAATCTGGTATCTGAATGGGTTTCTAAAGCATTGCACTATCTTGCAGTTAAAAGTTGGGTTTAAGCAATTGTTTAGTTTGATTTCAGATAGTTCATGCTAGAAAACTTAAATACTTGGGATAAAAAAAAAATTAAAGAATTTCAATTTTGAACTGGGTAGCCTGAAGAGCAATTAAAACGTTGGTTTGGCTCATAAAAATGACATTAGATAATTAAATAGCAATAGTCTTAGAAATTTTCAAAGCTTAATTTCAGATATATATGGTAGTGTGTGGGCAAATTTAATGTAACTCAATGCTACTTTAGAAACTTCAGAACAAGCAAAGTGGCTTAGAGGTACCAAAGAAATTTCTTCTGATGGTAGAGATCCTATTTCCAGTTTTATGTGAACAGGTTTTTCTAATGTAAAAAGATATAAAATTTTAAATTTTAAAAATTGCTTCTTAAATTTGTATCATAATTTTCAACATCTAAACCTGGAAATATAACTTAAGGTTAAAATGCCTTAGGCCTAAAGTGTCTGCTCAAAATAGCAGTTCCTGTCCTCAAAATTAAGCTTATAAGTTTCTCTAGGTGTTCAAAAAGGCCCTAATAAAATGTTAACTCTGCTTAAATTTAAAAGTTTACAAGTATTGTTTCAAAATGTGAACAAAAAGAGGTTTATATAATTATGGTGTTATTAATGTGTTCATATCTTCCAGGTATACAAGTCTGTAAGGTAGAAGCTTCGAAAGAACATTATATCAAGCTGGTGTTCTAAAGTTGTATGGTAATTTTAGGTTTAAAAAAAAAAAAAAGCATGTTAGAGATTCAATTATATCATTTGTGTTCTATAACTGAACTTGTTATCAATAAGATATGTACAGTTCCATGTTACTTTCTACTCTGAGATACAATTTATGTATTTTTAAGTTAATGAGAGCCTAATCTGTGTAAAGGTTTTATTGCAAAACATAAAAGTACATTACTACTTTTCTATAAAAGGTTAAAAGCTTTCAGCCTTTAATTCATGTTTTAGGTATGATATTATGTTGTGTTAGCTAATGTTCATGTAAACTTGAACAACAATTTATGTAAACTTTGTAAAACGATCAGCTTCAGAACTATAGTACTTGAGATTTATAAAGAGCCCTGCCTTACTTGAGATAAGGCTCTGTCCCATCTCACTACATGTGAAAGTGGCTATAAAAAAGTAAGCCAGATTTCAGTACAGTTAAAGTTGTGTCCAAAAATAGGTTTGTGCCAAGATTACTAGGATCTCAAACAGAAAATTATGATGTATAACCCTGCTAGAATTCAAGGTAGCTATTATATAAGCTAAATATGTTTTTACCCTAGTTAGTTTTGTTTTGTAGTTTACTTATAGATGGTTTAAGGATTGCCTGTTAATGTTTTAAAGAGGTATTGCTTTAAGAACACAACCTGGGCCAACATAAGATAAGGAGTTATCACCTACAGGATAGAGAGATAAACATTAAAGCCCAGTGCTCTTAATATAAGGCTGTTAACTTATTTGCTGGATGTTTAAGATCAAGTTTTAAAATTAGTTAAATTAAAAGGGCCAAGAAAACCAATATTCGGCTCTTGCCCTCTGAGTCAGTCTGAATCAGGGAATAGGGGACTTCTCCAAAGGGATCAGCAACTCTAGGCCACATAACCTCCTGAGCAGGGAGATTAATGAGACCAGTGGAGGACAGAAAGCCAATCGGTGCATTTGCTGTAAAGAGGAGGGTCATTAAAAAAGGGAGACATCCCTGATGCTTCTGAGGGAAGCCATATGGTCAAGCAAGGCCTGGACCCATCCTAGCGCAAATGGCACTAGCAGAACTGAAAAGCTGCTATGAAGTTCCCGAGGACTCCCAGGATAACTCAGCTGACTGTAAACAATAGGTAGAAACAAAAGTCAGTTTGACTTGCTTCATCTTAAACACTTAGCAAAGACAGTAAAAGCCAAAGCACAGCTGTTCCTGGACATCTTAAATAATAATAATAGTTAAATGTAACTTCCATAAATAAGTAGACTGGAGGCTACAAGAGAGATTCTTAGACAGAAATGCCTGATAACTGTCAAAGGGACTGCTAGAGTAGTTTTAGTCTAAGGCTTTTATTTCTAGCCAACGCAGGTAGACTTGATGTTTGCTAATATGGTTATCCAGCCCTAAGTAGCAGAATTAAAGATTTCTCTATTAGACACAGAGGAGAAACAAAAGGTTCTCTTGGAAGCTCGAAAAAATGTGCCAGGGGACTACGGGCGCCCCACCCAACTCACAAATTTGATTAAGGAAGCTTTTCCTTTAACCCGGCCAAACTGGGACTATGCGACTGAAGCAGGTAGGAACCACCTACGTCTCTATCGCCAGTTACTCATAGCGGGTCTCCATGGAGCAGGGCGACGGCCCACCAATTTGGCTCAGGTAAGACAGACTATCCAGGGGTCAGAGGAAACTCCGACAGCCTTCTTAAAGAGATTAAAAGAGGCTTATCGGAGGTTTACTCCCTTTGATCCTGATAGTGAGGACCAGAAAGGAAACATTTAATGGGCCTGCCTTCGTCTCCCAGGTAAGTCAGGCGGTGGCCAATACATTGGGGATTAATTGGAAATTACACTGTGCTTATAGACCCCAAAGTTCAGGACAGGTAGAAAGGATGAATAGAACCATTAAGGAGACTTTAACTAAATTGACACTTGAAACTGGCACTAGAGACTGGGTACAACTCCTACCTTTAGCCTTGTATCGGGCCCGAAACACCCCAGGCCCACATGGACTAACCCCATTTGAAATCCTGTACGGTGCCCCACCTCCCGCTGTTAACTTTTATGAAACTGAAACCTATGCCTCCCTCACCCCATCTATGCAGACTCATTTGCATGCTTTGCAATTGGTCCAGAACGAGGTCTGGAAGCCTCTAGCCGCAGCATACAAAGAGGAACTTAAAACCCCCTTGCTGCCACATCCCTTCAAGGTCGGAGACACCGTCTGGGTACGCAGGCACCAGAGCAAGAACCTCGAACCGCGGTGGAAAGGACCCTACACCATTCTGCTGACCACTCCCACTGCAATCAAAGTGGACGGCATCACCGCTTGGATCCACGCCTCCCACGCAAAAGCTGCACATCCACAGGAGCCCACAGATGCCACTCCAGAGCCTGAATGGAAATTGCAACGCACCCAGAACCCGCTAAAGATAAGACTTACCCGCTGTTGATTTTTCTTGCTCTGCGCTCTATCTTCCCCATATCAGTTGCTAGGCACCAACTCTATGACCCCAATCGGCCTATACGCCAGGCATGGCATATACTATCGGGGGCGGGAGACATAATTTGGGAAAAAACATCCACAAAGTACCCCCTCTGGGCTTGGTGGCCTAACCTAGAGCCAGATCTTTGTCACATACTGGCTGGGTCAGAAGACTTTGATATTCCAACTACTGACCCAGCTAAACCGAGTGGGCCAGAAGTATGCATCTCCAGCGGGCGCTGCCCTTGCTCACGCTATCCGGCAGGATGTAGGGACCCAAGGGCTCTGGCAGCTCTAAAAAAAATCATTCTATGTATGCCCCAGGGACGGGAGAATTAAGTCGCAAGCACGTAAATGTGGGCAACATGAAAGTTATTATTGTAAAGCTTGGGGATATGAAACTACGGGGGATGCATACTGGAACCCTAGCTCATCCTGGGATTTGATCCAAGTAAAAAGAGAAAAGCAAAATGAGCCCCCACTCTCTACAGACTATTGTAAAAGTACACCTGGGACAGTCAACACCTTATGGTATGGGGACGGGCCATGTACCATGTTTGCCTGCAACCCCTTAAACATTACCTTTACTAAGGCAGGCAGAACATCAAAAGATTGGTTACAAGGAAGGCTATGGGGACTACAGGTATATCATCAGACTGCATATGACCCGGGGGTCCTATTCAAAATCAGGTTAACTATAAAAGCTGACCCCCATCCAATAGGCCCTAATAAGATACTCCAAGATCAAAAGGCTCCTCCTCCTAAAAAAAATATAAACAGGCACCCTCAAGGCCAACGTCCCCATCTAATACCATCCGTCCAACCCCCTCCACTCCTCCGACCGTGCCAGTTGTCACTAATCCCACTTTACCAGGGTCAGGAGAAAGACTAATGGACCTAGTTGAAGGGGGATACCAAGCCCTCAATTCCACCGAGCCCAATCTCACTGAGTCCTGCTGGATTTGCCTCCAGGCAAGGCCCCCCCCTACTATGAAGGAGTAGCTAAAAGAGCTCTGTGCACGTACTGCAACCGTGTCATCCTCTGACACATCCAGCTACTTAGTGCCTCCAACAGGACTCTACTGGGCATGTAACACTGGGATTACACCCTGTGTTGCGATAGCCAATTTCAATCAGTCTAAAGATTTTTGTGTGTTAGTCCAGATCTATCCACGGCTACTCTATTATTCCACAGAAGAATTTGAGGGCCCTCGACAGCTAGGGATTCTGGAGACTGCAATCCAACAAGACCTAAGAGCAATAGAAACCTCTGTAACTGCTTTAGAAAAATCCCTAACCTCCCTATCAGAGGTTGTTTTGCAGAATAGACGAGGTCTGGACCTATTATTCTTGAAGGAAGGAGGACTTTGTGTGGCCTTAAAGGAAAACTGTTGCTTTTACACAGATCACACAGGGGTAGTAAGGGAGTCTATGACAAAGCTTAGAGAAAGACTGGATGCAAGGGAAAAATCCCTGTGAGGCTCCCAAAGTTGGTTTGAAAGCTGGTATAATAAATCCCCTTGGCTAACTACTATATTATCTACTGTAGCTGGCCCCTTGATTATATTACTGTTAATTTTAACATTTGGACCCTGCATATTTAACAAATTAATGCAATTTATGAAAGAAAGACTGTCCGTAATCCAAACTATGGTCCTCACGCAGCAATATCAAGTACTCCAACAACACGCCGAGCCATCAGCTGAGCAAATGCTGAATTCTGAGCAGATAGATCAATGGATATAGGATTATATCCCGGATAAAGAAAAGGGGGGAATGAAGGACCTCAGGCCCCAGGCCCAACATTAGGAAATCTAACCCCTGTGCCCTGAAGCTGCAGGATGCTCCCTTACACAACCCCCATGTCAAGACCCCTCCAGCAGCACGTAGCATTTCGAGTCCTGCACAATGCTACCACAAGATGCTCCATATAGATAACCCTAACGGTCAAACTTGAGGATGCAGGTTTAAAAACAGGAACCAAAAGGACAGGATGCAGGTTTAAAAAAACAGGAACTAAAAAGACAGGATGCAATTCTATGGTTTTCCTGAGAACAAAAAGTTGAAAAACAAGTTTACCCCCCAGGTGACCTAACGACTGGATTCAGAGAAACCAATAGAATAACTGTTACCGTGCTAAGCTAAAAACTAACCCCCTGCTCCCTATAAAAGATCTGTGCCCTAGAGCCCGGTGTGCCAGTTCACCGAAGCTCCGGCTGAGGTTTCGCTGAGCACCCGCAGGCGCCTGTGTATCAATAAATCGCCTCTTGCCTTTGCAGCCAGTGCCTCGTGCGTCTTTCTTGGACAGGGAATCGGCGGGTCTTTCATGGTCAGGCTATGCCTGATGACCATATTGGAGGCTCTGTAGGTGTGCCTCGTGGGGACTGCAGCTTTGTTTCAGGTGAAGTTTCTCAGGCTTTTCGTTAAGGCTATCCTTACACCTCCTTGTGCCTCAGTTGCCTGGACCACAGAGCCAGAGAAAGGTGGACATCTGCCTCCGACGACGATTCTGCAGATGAAGTGAGTCAACGAGGCTTGAACAGCTGTGCGGAGAGGTCAGAGGCCACCTAACCTGAGATCCTGGAGGCACAGTGACAGCGGGAATTTGGAGACTCAGGTTCTAGAATGGCCGTGTGGAGTGCTACCCCAGTGGAGCTGGAGAAACGCCACAACGGAGCGCAGTCTGCACTGGGCGCCTGCTGGTCACCCCAGCCTGAGCAGCAGCCTAGGCAGCCTGGGCAGGGAGGGGTTCACACGGGGCGTGTCCAGTGATGTGTAGATTTTGGGTGAGGCCAAGTGGCTGCGTCCTTCTTTGTGCGTAGGGAACATTGAAGAAGGGGTCTGTGGAAACTCCCCCAGGTGGCCCAGCACACAGGCTGTCCCCCAGGGTGAGTGTGCCACCTAGAGGGACCTCAGCGCCATTGGCAGGTGGTTACTGCAGACTCACAGAAGGTCTCCTGCCAGGGAGCGCATTCCCCACCCCTGTGCGGGACTCCCTACCCATGCTCACACACTCCCCTGCTGACCCTCCTGCGCCTGTGTCCCCAGACGCTCCTAGGACCCTCCATGCCTGAGCTCCGGGATGCCCCTGGTGACCCCCTGGCGTCCTAGCTTCTGTCAGGGCCTGGCTGTGAAGCTCCACAGCCCTCTGTCTCCTCCACCGTCCTTGGAGCAGCCCTTGTGGTCCCTAGCCTCTGTGAGGGCTCATCCACGGTGACAGAAAAGGTCTCAGTTCCCAGTGGCAGGGGAGACGTCTGGCCCAGGGCTGCTGCCCACCGGGCTCTGCTGCGTCTGTGTGACCACCTGCTCTGCGGGGGCCACGCACCCCCGCTACAGACTGAGGAAGGGGACACACGCTCTGTGCGGTGGCGGAGGACTCAGAGAGGAGTCTGCAATGTCAGGGGTCTCCCCACCCTGAGGCCCTGCGAGCAGTCATCCCGCTAGGTCTCCCGAGGGCCAACACTGTCCTGAGGGTGGGGAGCCGCTGAGACCACAGCTGTCAGAAGGTCAGACATCTGGGTGAGCTCAGAGTGCCATTGGGCCTCAGGTTCAGCTCGACTTACCTCCGAGCCGGTGCCTAGCAAGCCTGGTGGCCCCAGGGGTCGGGACTGAGGGCCCCGGGCAGCACCCTCCCTCCCTCCCACTCTGCTCCACTCCTGCCCTGAGTCCACCCCTGTGCTCCCAGTCTGTTGCCTTCTGCCAGCCGAGCCTGCTTCAGGGGCCAGCAGTGTCCAGTCCCTCCTGCCAGCCACCCCAAAGCCCTGGGACGAGGCGAGCTGAAGTGGCGTCTCAGGGGAACCCAGGTGGCACTGAAAGCCTGCGTCCTCGTCCTCGTTGACAAGCTGCTCAGGCCGTGGCTGCCCCACACTCCCTCCAGGGTCTTGACTTCTTACCAAATAGCTGCAGAAGGACGCCCTGAGCTTGTGAGGAAGAGCCCCAGGCAACGCCTCTTGGCCCTCTGCTCCTCCCGTCCCCAGGGCGTGGGTCAGGTGTGTGGCAGTAGGTGACCCCTCAAGCTCACCCCTCACCAGGTCCACATGCAGCCCTGTACCAGGAGAGGAAGCTCCGCCCAGTGTGGCCGCCCCGGCCAGGCAGGGACACCCGCTCTGCCCAGGCCGTCCCCTCCCTGGGCGGACATGGGCGTGCGCAGTCCGGAGTGTATTGTCACACTCCAGCAATTCAGACAGAGCCCCTCTTCCCAGTCAGCACAGCCCTCCCAGGGCCCTCGAGCACAGGCCTCCTGTTCCCTGCGGTCACTGGTGCCCCGAGCCCCCCTGTAGGGGTTTGGGGCAGTGGAGGGGGGACAGGGCCTCCAGGACTGGCCTTACTTAGGTTGCAGACTCAAAGATGGAAATAGGATTCAAACGCAGCCTTCACACTGTGAGAAAAGGCATCTCAGGGAGGCAGGGAGGCCAGGGAGGGAGGGAGGCTGAGCAGGAGGACGCTGTGGTGAGCACTGTCCCCTGTGCTTCCTCGTCGAGCCTGGAGCCGGAGCTCTGCTGGAGAGCACTGAGGAAGAGCACTTTCTCCTTGGCCTTTCCAGGCCTCGGCTCTGTGCCACACACCTCTGTGCCATGTGCCTCTGTGCCATGTGCCTCTGTGCCACGCGCCTCTGTGCCATGCACCTCTGTGCCACGCACCTGGGTGCCACTCACCTCGGTGCCACATGTCTCTGTGCCACGTGCCTCGGTGCCACGTGCCTCAGTGCCACACGCCTCAGTGCCACATGTCTCTGTGACACGTACCTCTGTGCCACTCACCTCTGTACCACGTGCCTCTGTGCCACATGTCTAGGTGCCACATGTCTCCGTGCCACACACCTTGGTGCCACATGCCTGGGTGCCACTAGCCTCTATGCCACACACCTCTGTGCCACGCGCCTAGGTGCCACATGCCTGGGTGCCACACACCTCTGTGCCACATGTCTCTGTGCCACGCACCTCTGTGCCACATCCCTCTGTGCCACACGTCTCTGTGCCACGTGCTTTGGTGCCACATGCCTCTGTGCCACGCACCTTAGTGCCACATGTCTCTGTGCCATGTGCCTTGGTGCCACGCGCCTCGGTGCCACACTCCAGCAATACAGACAGAGCCCGAGGAGGAGCCGCAGGCCTCACCTTGCCTAGACCAGGAACCTACACAGGAGAGCCGGGAGGTGGGAGCATCATACTCAGGGTCACAGTGAACAGACCCAAGGGACGTGCTTGGAAAAGTTCCTAGATATTAATAAAAAGGAAACTCAACCCCACTCCTTAACTTGTAGGTGCTGTTTACAAACTGAGGTTCAGAGCATGTCGATCGTCTGATGCCGTCACTGCAGGAGGCGTTGGGGACAACCGTGGCTCTCTTTCCCCTTCTGAGTGGCAACCCACCAGGCTGGAGAAGCCGGAGAACAGCGAGCTTTGACTCTGTCTTGTGTGTGACAAGCACCGGCCTTTTTCCAGAGATAGGTGACATGTGTCAAGGGTAAGGAGTCGGAGGACTGTCACACTCTTCTGGTTTACAGGACAAAGTGAATGTGTCCTCACACACGATGAGCGGGAGAAGGCGGCCTTGGGAACCGCCAGGGGCGTGGGAGGAGGGGCGGCCTTCACCCTCAGGGAAGAGTGGCCTGTAGCAGAGCCTCGGGCTGGGTCAGTCCTCCTGCCCAGCTGACCACTGGCTGTCCCCCACACCTCGCACTCACAGACAGGCCTCTAACCAGGGGACAGGCAGGCACCCCTCCGCCTTCCTCGGCGGAGAAACTGCTGTTCACCATGACCCCCACCTCCCAGCCCCCACCTCGCACTCCTTCCCCAGCAAGAGCTCTCTGGAAAGTCAGGGGCTTGCTCTGAGACACACCTCAGCCTGGGGTCTGGCTCCTGCGGGGTCTGGCTCCCGGGAGCTGCAGCCCGCTCTGCTCCCCTCTCCAACGCCAGATGCGCCAGATGTAGTGCAGTGTTGAGTTCCTGATGTAACTTGACCTTTCTTTTATCAATTAATAGAAAGGGCATTGGAAATTCTTATACTAAAAAGAAAAAAACCACTGCACTTATTATAGCTTCCCTCCAGGAATACAAAGAATCACCCTGGATTGAAAATTGCAAAGAACATTGGGGAATAAAGGAATCATTGAACCAAAATGAGGCCACCAACCCAGTTTAGTTCACGCACTATCGTCACTCTGCAGAAGGACAGCTGGGCTGGCCTCACAGGGGCGGGCAGGTGGGCCTGCAGAGGGGGCACCTGCGGCTCACGCCTCCCGGGCTTGTTCCTGCTGCCGTGGAGCCACCAGAGCAGTGGAGCGGGAGTGTCCATTGATGCTTCTAAGCAAAAAAATGATTTAAAGAAATTGCAGCAGAGTGCGCCTTAGGAACAGCGGAAGAGAGAGCCTTTCAAGAAAATACTCACACACTGTTTAACTCTGAGCCGATCAACAAAGCAGGGCCCCGGCCTGTCTTCCAGGAAGAGGAGAGGATGTTTACATTCCTCAGTTTCTTTTCATGTCCGTCCCAGGGTGAAGGATCTCAGGGCTTGAGGCCGCACGAGGTTCTCCTCCGGAGGAGCCCAGGGCCAGCAGAGGAAAGCACCCAAGGGGGAGAGGCGGCGAGGAGGGGGCGAGGCCCAAATGATGAAGGAGGAAAATACCTCCCAACGCTCCCCCAACGCTCCTCCACCTTCGCGGGCATCCCCCTCTCCTCCCGACCCTGATGGGCTCGGCAGGGTACGAGCCTGGTACCAGCCTCGTACGAGCGAGTGTCAGAGCTACCCCTGGGCCCTTTCCTCCATCCTGCTGCCAACGTGCCACCCAGGCCTCTAACCAGGGACAGGCGAGCACCCCTCTGCCTTCCTCAGCCGAGGAACTGTGTTCCACGTCACCCCCACGCCACACTCCTCCTCCCAGCCCCACCACCCCCCACTCACAGACAGAACCTGCCCCGGTGACGCCCACACCAGCCTGCCCTGTCCCTGCAGTCCTGAGAGACAGTGAAGCCAGCCCGCCCACCCGGGCCTCACTGCCTGGCCCCCCTGGCCCAGGCCCTGCTGGCAGGCACTGTCCCCGAGTGCTGCCTCTGACCTGGTCCTACCCGCCGGGCACTTCAAGCCAAACATCCTTTCAGACCCAGGCTGTGTGACGCCCCAATGAGGCAAGCGTGTGCTCCTGCCCAGCCTGATCCCATTCCGTCACCTTGTCCCCAGGCCAGTGAGAGGGAGCCCTCAGACTCTTCCTGCATCCTCCGCCTCCCACAGGGTTCAGACCCAACCCACGGTCGTGCTGATGAGGACACAGCCGCTTCT